TAATCACGAATGTGGCGGAATCTTCCGTGGATCCTGCAGAACTATTTCAGACTCACATTGCCACACAGAAACCTCCTCCGACCCCAAGGATATCCTGGAATATCTAAAGAATCCGACATACGAACCGTCTCGCTACCCCTGGCCTAACCGAGTGTTCACGCAAGTATATGAGTGCGAAGGAAATTGGGCAGGCTATAACTGTGACGAATGTAAGTTTGGGTACGTGAGAACGCCAATGGGACAGGGCGGTGTTGCGCAATGTGTGAAACGCCAGACACCCCTAGTGCGGAGAAACTTTCTCACCCTGAGTCCTTCAGAGCGCGATGATGTGCAGAAACTCGTTGCTGCCTCTCGAAATAGAACGGGGGCTGGTAAGAGTCGCTTTGGCGTGCTAGTGGATGAAAGTCACTTTCCTCGCACCCCAGGCACCAGGAGTCGATCACAACTCACCAGCGCTGATTTCAAGACGGATATCTCTACATACGAGTTCATGGCATGGATACACTACTTCGCCTCCAAGGACAGCGGCGCCCCACCAACGGGGTTTCCCCATGTGTACATTGACTTTGCCCACAGAAATCCCTCTTTCTTGGTATGGCATCGGTTGTACATGCTGCTGTTTGAGGCTGAGCTGCAGTTGGTGTCTGGAAACTCATCATTCGCCCTTCCGTACTGGGACTGGTTAGACAATAGTACCAGGGACACCTTGCTCACAGAGAACAAGTTTGGCAACCCAACAGGCCTGACTGGAGTACTGGCAGACTTCACTGTCACCTGCTATGCTGCTTCATTCTATCCTTGGGCCACACGGCGTGGTAGGAACAGTTTGGGCGAGCGGCGTGGTAAGAACAGTTTGTGCACACGCGGAGAGTTTGATTCCACAGTCAAGGTGTCCAGGAAATTTGGCCCTTGTGAAGAGACGCAATTCCTTCCCAGCAACCGAGATATCTGGGACGTATTGACAACCACCGACAGATACGATATGGAAAAGTATAATATAAGTTCGACCGGATACAACAGCTATCGCAAAGTTTTGGAGGGTTCCACTCCATTGCCTGGCAAGAAGTACTGTCAAAACCGATGGTGGAATACTGTTCACGAACTTCACAATGCCGTGCACATCTATACCAGTGGAACCATGGGCAATTTGGGGGCTTCACCAAACGACCCACTCTTTTGGCTTCATCACAGTATGGTGGATAGAGTGTTTGAGATCTTCATCAAGAGGAACGGTGAGACATACACACCGACAGTGGGTGCACCACCAGGTCACAATGCTGATGACTGTATGGTGCCGTTCTATCCCCTGCATCGTAACAAGGACTACTTGAAACTGTCAATGGAGCTTGGCTACCAGTATGACAGTCTGCCAGAATACGCACATGAACCTGTCCGACACGAGTGGAGTCAATGCGCAGGTAAGTCTGATTGGACTGGGCCCTCCCAGCAGGGGACCCATTTCTGTAACAGAAAATCCTCCCTTGCATGTGGCAAAAGGGGCCCACTCATTGTATCCTGCATTTTGTTATGGCTAGAGGGGATTGAACTGGACCCAGGAATTGTTATTTAATGACTTCTGACTTCTCTTTCAAACCCTTTGGTAGAGATGTTCTGCTTCATGTGAAACATAGAGGAAATACGTCAAGAACGAAAGCATGGCCCGGGCGTTAGAGACTACGGCCTCGCGTGTTGACATGGCGATGAGAGATCTCTACGTTGTAGCACATGCAAAGAAAATGTATATGGATTTGCTGAGTACCAGTCCTGGTTGTCAGAAAACTGCCAGATTTGGAACAGGAGATTCACAATACATATTCCACCTAATTTCTTTGTGTGAATGCGCACCAGAGCATCTACTTTGGGATACCTGAAGCACAAGAACTCGAGTACTTGATTCTTCACATTGCGTTCCCTGGCACATGGACCTTGTTCCGATGAAGAACTGAGACCCCGAGTTCTCCGATAGTGAGAGACCCGCTCTGGTACACAATGCTCTCCGTTTGTGAGAGACTCACTTCTTCCGCCCAATGCTTGGACACTAAAAGTAATGACTGTTCTCTTTCTGTTCACCCAGAAGTCTGAATTATGCTTGAACATACACAAGAATAATACCCTCACCGGGCAAGCTCGTAATCAGGCATGCGTAACAGCACTAGCAGGCAGCTGCAAGCAATACTAGCACGGTAGTCTACAGTACAATGCAGTGGTACACGAACTACATGAAATCAAAGGATGAATCACCACCGATATGACAGCCATGTTGTGAACCCTGCTAAGATTCTCTAAATTGTCAGGATCGTACGACCACACGGCACGAGGACAACTGTTTTCCTTTACACAGTATATTTCACTTCATCTGATAATTAACAATGAACACTAATAACACCAGCTATTTATAGCATGCAAAAACAGCGTACATGCAAAACATAAACAGATAAAACTGGACATAACAGCGTATACAGCAAAACGCACACAACGCATATAGCGTATGCCATGCAGCAACATCAGCGGTACGGCGGAGTCGAAATACAACATTTCAACGAATACAATGCCATAAGCGCGAAGGCCTTTCCCAATTGAGAACTGGTGGTTTACAACATTCTCCCCACCAAAGGGCTTCTCACCGCCGTACAACAATGCACACAAGTCAAAAACGATCCGGGGCTCTGACTACGCGCCCAGAACGCGTTATCTCCTGCTGCCGTGGTGGTGGTAACGGTGATGACGGTTCATACGCTGGCTGCTGAGGGACGATAGCAGGTTGAGCGGTATCTGCAAGCCCAGGAGCCACGTCCTGTGACGATACTTCTAACGGCACTAACCTTTGGATCGGCCTCAACAGGGTACTGGTACTCAACTTAACCTTGGCAACACGACGCTTACCATCTCGACCAGGGAATAACTCGATGATCCGTCCCAAACGCCAGAACTGTTTGCGCTTGGTATCATCGAGAACAAAGACAACATCACCCACAGCTAAAGGGCGCGACATGGTCTGTTGGTGTTTGTTCAGCTGACTTAGGTACTCCACCTCCCAACGATTCTTGACATGCTCCAGTGTCCGACTGAGGTAACGCAATCTCGATGACATCTGCGCAGCGTCCAGGGTACCTGCTGGCTTCTCTGACGACATCCAGATGTCACCCATCATCATTGCAGGGGTTACTGGTGGCTCATCCAGGCTATCAGACACATAAGTTAGCGGACGACTATTCACCACTGCTTCAACCTCATACAAGAGGGTCTCAAGCTCCTGGACCTTCAGAAACGCTGTTCCCATTACCCTTTTCAAGGCACTCTTCACTGTACCAACCATTCGCTCATAGAAGCCTCCATGCCATGGTGCAGCTGGAGGATTGAACATCCATGGCACACCCAGTTTGTCAGATGCCGCCTTGAACGTTGTAGCGTTGTCAGACCTGATCCGAGACGGCAAACTACGTCTCGCGACAAACTTCCGAAATGCCATCAAGAATGACTCGGTACTTAAACTATCGACCACCTCCAAGTGAACTGCTCTGGTGGTGGCACACACAAACAATGCTATCCATACCTTCGGAGATGACTCACCACGGCGCACGTACAACGGACCAGCATAGTCGATGCCGGTAGTTGCGAACGGCCTCTCGTGAACAACTCGGTCTTCCGGCAGCGGCGGGCAGACTTCTGAGGCAGCCTTAGCCTTGTAGCGGCGGCATGTAACACATCGCTGAGTAATGTTGCGTAGCGCCCGTCGACCACCGATAATCCAGAATTTCTGACGGATGAACGACAAGACTCCTTCTACACCTTGGTGCATCCTTTCAACATGCATTTTCTCCAACAGCAACTCGGTCAGATGATGTTTGCCTAACAGGACTGGGTGCTTGGCTCCATACGCCAACTCGCTGTGCTGAAGTCGTCCCCCGGCTCTGAGCACTCCATGCTCATCCAGAAACGGTGCAAGCTGATACACCTTCGACCCAGGCTTCACTGGTTGACCTTGCTTGATCAGCTCAAGATCCTCAGCGAAACATGCGGCTTGAACGATGCGGTACAATACGTTGTCTGCTGCAAAATAGAGTTCAGCACGAGGCTCAGTGTGCTTCCACTGCAACATCCGAGTCACCATGCCCTGTGCCCTCGACCATTTACTGAATCGGAGCCACCATTCCTTATCAGATTCTCGACTACAGGTGGTGGCTGACACTCGTACTTCTACACTGGACTCATCTGTAGCTGCGGTTGAGGATGCGGTGGGCCAGTCATTGGGCTCCGTGATCCAGGTTGCTCCGCCCCTCCAGAACGGACTACGGATCTGCTGTGCACTACTCCCACGCGACGGTAAATCTGCTGGGTTGTGAAGGCCTGGGCAATGGTTCCACACAATGCCGACCTTCTTCGATATCTCTTGGACTTGACTGACGCGGTTAGCCACAAATGTTTTCCATTTGTACGATGGATTACTGATCCAATGAACGGTAGTGAGACTGTCAGTCCAGCCATAGACTTGCGTGACGGTCACACGCAGCTCCTTCACCACAAACTCAGCGTAGCGAGCCGCTAGACATACTGCTTGTAACTCAAGGCGGGCTAACGTGGGCGGAGACACGGGTACCACTTTGGCCTTGGCAAATACCAAGTGCGACTGTCCATTGACGACTGCATACAAACAACATCCAAACGCTTTCTCACTGGCATCGGCGAAGGCATGAAGCGCAATCGGCATGTCAAGATTGCAGCAAATCCAACGTGGTATGTCAATGCTCACCACTTCGGCCAACTCTCCCCACCATTGCGCGCATGCGGCTGCGATGCCATCAGGCAACTTATCATCCCAGTCGCCTCCGACTTTCCAGGCTTGCTGTAGCAGTACCTTTCCAGGCACAACTGCCGGTGCTGCTAGACCTAGCGGATCAAACACTGACGCAACACACTTGAGGAGGGATCGCCGGGTCCAAACAGACGGCCTATCGGACTCGCCTAGCGCTGCTATGCTGAGCAAGTCATCACTGGTTTTCCACTTCAGACCGAGAACTTTATCTCCGGCCTCTGGATCGCACGGGATTTCGTTGCCTCGCCACTTGCGTAACTCCATGCCAGCATCCGTAAGCACACGCACGCTGAACTCTTGCATCTCCTTAGCTTCCGAGGCATTTGAGACACTAGAGACCAAATCGTCAACGTAGAAACTCGTGAGCAAGAGATCAATACGATCTCGCTCTTTGGGTGCAGACAACGCCAGTAGCTCCTTCAAGTGATGCTGAATCACCGCAGTAAGCATGTATGGCGAGCAGTTTACGCCAAATGGCAGTTTCGTTAGCCTCCAGGTTAACAGTTCATCGCTGTCGCTTCGACCGGGCCACAAGAAACGCAGGTACGGACGGTCTTCGGGATTAACCGCGACCATGAAGAAAGCCTTGCGGATGTCCGCTTGCAGCGCGCTCTTATATTCACGGAACCGTAATAGCATACCTGCGAGACTCGGCAATAGCGACGGTCCAGGGTCAACCATGTCGTTCAACGACTTGCCATCTGGAGCCGTCGCCGAGGCATTGAACACCACTCTTAACTTCGTGGTTGCAGCGTGCTCGCGGAATACACCATGATGCGGTACATAGTACCCGGCATCGCTCTCACATGGCTCCAGCTCAATTGCTCCAAGCTCACGGTACTCCCTGATCAGCACATCATCATAGAGCGCACGCTTCCCATTCCTCTTCAGCTTTTCAAGAAGCCGCGTTGCGATGACTCTAGCTTGAGTAAAGTTATCTGTTGGGCGACGCTCATTTCGCCACAAGAGACCCACTTGGTACCCGCTGCCCTGGCGGCATAGCGGGAACGATGGCAGGTGCTGATGTTGTTCTGGAGGTTCATCCAACTGCCATAGTTGTTCAATGTGGGCTGTGACACATGACACGGTCACCGGCTGACTGTTTCGACTTGGTGCAGACGCTGGACCAGATAATACATTACCTATCTCTGTGTTCCACACCGTCTCACCATTAACTTCCTTCTTGCTGTGCAGTACCGCGTTGATATAGTCTGCACCAATCAGCATATGTATTTCGTCTGATGTCCCTTGTTGAGGCTTGTCACTCAGCTCTACTCCCCAACTGTGCCACTGCGCAATGGTCTGCGGACTTGCGCACTTCAGGTCCAGCTCAAGCGTTGGTTTCACGAACGCGCGTACCCGAATGCTAGCGGAGCTACCCTGGATCGTGATGGCGTACTTATCCATGCGCTGTTGGGTTGGTTCCGCGCCGAACGGCTTCACCTCTACATTTTCAACCCCAACGTGTTCTGCATCGATTGCTGACACCAACGCTGCAGTCACGAATGACGCCTCAGCACCCGAGTCCAGGAACACTCGAACCTTCGCGTTTTGAGTTCTTCCCTCAACTCGTGCCACTCCGGTCATCAGCCGCACACTTGGCGA